ATTGTAAGCGAGAAGATTCATCTGATTGCTATAGTTTGACATGGAAACACATCATGTGTTTTCTACTTGCTTTTATTGATAAAGGATTTTTGATATTTTTTGTTTTCTCCCTTTCTTTGTAGTTTGGGCATAAATACTTGGTCCAGAAAAACAGTTGAGTTGTTTCATTATAGTTACTTATGTCTATTTGTTTTTCTGTAGCAGATAGTGTCTACTATGACCGCAGGATTATTGTTGCGACTTCGCTTATTGTGTAGGATAGATCATTGACAGCAATGTCCTTCAGCGGCCGAGTAGATGATATGTAGATGTTACAGCTTTTGTATGTTGTAAGAGAACGATCACTTATGGGTAAAACCGAGGTTGCCTCTTTTAGTAAGGATCTTTGGTTTTAGTCAATTTTGTTGACTTTTGGCATGAATTGTGCAATGGACAACATCTCGAGAGACGAAAGCTGTTGACTGATTCATAGGTCCAGTAGGAAGTACGAACGCTTTTTTTCTTGGATATATACTGAAGATTGTTGACCACTTTACATCACGTGTGCAGTTTATTTATTCCCATAGTTTAAATATAGAAAATATGGCACAAACTAATGATTAGGTATACTTAAATGAAGCTTTTTTTTTCGCTTTTATTTCTATGCTAGTGGGTTTGACAATCTCTAAAATCTTGATAAGAAGATTATTTTCAAAATTGTAGCTACCACATGGTCAAAAAATCTGTTACGTTAGAAGAGTTTTTCGTTAGGGTTAAAAACGAGGAATACATGTGAGATTCTAAACTGAAATTGTTCTTTTAGAGATTCCTGGATCATCTTTCACTGCTGTCTTAATAACATACTCTAGGACTGAGATAAACATCTACACTTCCAAACAATGTCAGTCGAATAAAGAAACAACAACAAATAAAACAAGGCACGTCATCATGACGTCAAAAGAGAATATTGATTTCTAGTATAACTTTTGCTTTAATATTCATATGAAGAAATCAATTCCTATAATTCGATTGAATTTGTTGGGAAAAAATTTGTTCAGAAGAATTTGAAAATGGCGAAAGAAGCTATGAAATTTTTTTACAAATAACTTGGTGTTATCTGTTATTTATGTGCATTCGTACAATTGCAAACAAAACGTAGGTATATTACCAGAGCAATTTAGTTTAAGAGATCTTCTCTTTGTTGAAGCTGATCAGATAGATAATATTCATTATAAGCAAGATAACAAAAAGCTATCACAAATATAATACTTATTTAAAAGATGAATACGTAAGAATCATAAAGATGTTAAAACAAAGTGTGGGGGAAGAGGTAAAAAAAAACAGGTTACTTGAATGGAATAACGTGGGAGACTTAAGAACTGTTATTTACACATAGTTCCACAGTCCTTAAAACTATATTGCAGACTGCACACTAGGAAGAAAGAGAGTTAACCAACATAACCAACATTAAAAAACTTTTTACTGTTAAGGAAAACGAAACAAAAACAACAAAAAAGGCTATATTACAGAGCACTGGTCAAGTTACGAGAGAACACTTGTGAATATTTTTACCGTTAGATGATAGAGAACTGCATGTACAAAATGATTCACAGACGTTATTGGGTGCCCTTCTGTAGGGCCGGCGTTACCATTAGGCCAACTAGGTAGCCGCTTAGGGCGCAGACCTTTAAGGGTGACAGTTTTATACAAATTAGTTGTTTTAAGTTTTGTTTGTAATTAAGCACAAAACTATACAATGGGGTATCTGTGCTCTGCCCACCACGGGTATCGAAACCCGGATTTTAGCGTTGTAAGTCCGCAGACATACCGTTGTGCCACGGGGGGGGGGCAGTTGTTTTAAGAAATAAACATAATAAAAGGAAATTATAATAGTTCATTGTTAGTTCATAACCAGTTTATTGTTTTCAAGGGGTGCAACTAGCTGGCCTTACTTAAGGCGTAAAATAGTCTGGCGCCGGCCCTGTCCTTCTGATTGGGTCCTACTTCTTCGATGATAACTTCACTGATGAAAGTTATCCTGAAATAATACAGGCTTTCCTATTGTGTACAATGAAATACATTTTATTGGTCAAATATGTCAGGGCATGATTTCAAAAGTTCCTTTCATACTACGCCCAAAACTGTTCGTAACTTTTTGGATGTCATCTTTCCAGGAAAGTATATTGGCAGAAAAGGCCTAGAGAAATGGTCACCAAGATGTCCCAAACTAATCATCTTTGAACTTTATATGGGGTTGTTGAAAAGCTTTGCAACACCCCACGAACCAGTCTGAAGTACGGTAATAGGATTGTATGTGTCAAAATAACAATTTAAACGTTAGAAAGTGTCAAAGTCTTGTGTCTAAAGCGAATGTCAACGTACTTACAGGAAAAATTACAACAATATGAGAATTTGCAGCAATGAAAGTAACAATACCTATAGTGTGTAATCTTGGTCCATATTATATATGGTTTTATGTTATAAAGTCTTTAAATGTTTACAAATGGTGTATCCGCAATAAAAAATCGAATTACTCTATAAATGAAAACTAGATTGACAACTTAAAACTTTTAGAATCTTCTATTTTAGTTAGTCTTGTTGAAAATAGTTCCAATTTCAAGATCAGAGGAATAGTGATTTAATATTTCGGAACAAAAGGCTAAAACAGAATATTGTTCGCTTCCGAGCTGGGATTTCGAGGCTTTTTGAAATCCGTTTGAAACATACTGTTATTGAGAGTTTTGACTGTTTTCTTCTAAAGATAAAACGTTTTGTTGTATAGTGACAAGTATGAATACCTCTTAACAAATACAATTAAACTTAATATTTGTTCTTAATGTCTTAAAAAAAACTACTTGTTTAAATCAACAATTTTATTCATTAAATGTTTTCCATGATAATAGAATGTTTTTCTAGCAAAACCAATTTCAAAGAAAAAGAAAAACCATCAGGCGTTCTATGCTCAAACTCAGGGTTCTCAAACTTCATATCAACAATTAATAACTTATAAGGCTGTACATAATAAGGAAATGTAGGCTGCCTGAACAATTTGCATGAACAACAACAACAAAAAAAAGACCTCGAAAAGTGTGGTTTTCATCATTCTGCATGTCACCACCTTTTTGACCATCAGGCAAAATGCCGAAACTTTATAACGGGAAAACTCACTGAAACGCTCTTTGATTTTGTTTGTTTGTTTGTTTGTAATTAAGCACAAAGCTACACAATGGGCTATCTGTACTCTACCCACCACGGGTATCGAAACCCGGATTCTAGAATTGTAAGTCCGCATACATACCGCTGTGTCACTGGGGAGCGAAACGCTCAATGAAAGAAATAGATCAGCATATACAGCGTTCATAACGATTACAGGTTATTTGAAAGTAAGAGGGTTGGATCTCGTATTATGATTGATATGAACATTCATCATTGAAACTCTTCTTGTGACAACAGTCTTGCTGACAGTAACCCTCCATCACTCATTAATATTTAAAAACCTCATTTTCAAATTAAGTTAATTAACTGAATCTCTTCCAAAGTGGAGACTCATAGAGATTTAGTTTTACAAAAAATAAACAACAAAACAAAAAGAAGGGTGAATATTCAATAGCCGCGGCACTTGAAATTCTTCTACGCAGGATTAGAATAAATTAATCTATGAGACCTTTTTTTTTTCGTTTTTATTTGCTATAATTTTGTGCGCCAGCAATACCAAGTGTGGGGCGCACGTATACCTGATTCAATTATATTACTCATCAGGATTTCTACCAGCCTACCCTTAAATTGAAATTATTTTAGGTAGGTTTGTTTGTTTGTTTGTTTTGGAATTTCGCGCAAAGCTACACGAGGA